TTTTCTCTTCTGACTTGCTCCCTCTGTGTAGCAGGGAGGATCCGTCTACATGACTTGAAGTTACGCATATTTCCAGAAACTTCAAACAGGCCAAAGCTCTGGGGAGTCACTTGTTAAAGGTGGTATCCCTCCAGCCCCTGCCCTACAGAGCTGACTCCCACCCTGCAGAATGGAATATTATACTTAGACTATACTACCTATTATCTGTAGCCCAGTGGCTTAATTTGTGTGGCCATGTTTCAGATGAAAATTTCAGAAACAATGTAATTTTTTCTTTAAAATTGTGATACAAATATATATAACTAAACATTAACCTTTCAACATTGTTTTTGCTTGAATAGTTCAGTGACAAGATTCCATGTGGGGAGCCCTCACCAGGATCTATTGCCACCATCCTTAACAAACTCAGTGGCACCCTTCAATCTCCACCTCAATATATTTACATATATTGATCGAGCTCCAAGTCTTATTTACCTACAAGCAGCCCCCAGAAGGCATTTCGACTTCTATCAGAGTGTCTCTTGGACCCCAAATAAGTCATGGGTGCTGGGTGTAGTCACATGCCCCAGGAAAGGTAGACAGAAGTCCAGCAGCATCCATCCTGGGGAGCGGGGTTGTAGACATACCTGAAGTGCATTACATTAGGCATGGTAAAAGATCTAAGGTATCTGTTCCAGATCTTTTAGATCAGGACTCTGTTACACTCTTAAAAATTATTGACGGCTCCAATGAAGTTGTGTTCTTGTGCTTATTATGTGTGGGGGGCATCAGTATAGCAATTTGTACGTGCCGACTCATACAGCAACCCTGCGTGCAGCACTACGGAAAGGGACCTGGTCCCGCCCCATCCTTACCTTCCTTGCTCTGTTTGCAGCCACTGTGCCCATCTGCCACGTGGAAGGTCTTCCTCCTTTTTCTTGACCTTTGCTCTACCAAGCAGGATGTCCTTCCCTCAGGACTGATGACTCTGGGTAACAACCAAAATACGAGTTCTGCCACTTGAGGTTTGGCTGCTACCCTCAGTTCTTTTCGTCTTGGGACATGCGGAGCGTGTTCTTTCCTTTGGGGTTTCTAACTCGGGTCTTTGCACAATTCAGGATTGCACTCTGTATTCTTGAGTTGCCCTCTGAAAGCTTCAATTCTCTTACATAATTTCTTCCATTTGCTTTACCTTGTCTTTGTTCAAGAGCGAGTTTTAGTCTCCCGTGACATGTGTTGTAGCCTTTCCCCCTTCCTGTCTTTTCAGTCATCTCTGCTTCTTTCCTGCCTGACACTTTTCCTGTCATCGCTGACTCGTCTGCTCTTCAGTCACTAGTGTTCAGTGCATCCAATCTGTTCTTCGGACGGCCTTTAAATTCAGGTAGGAGAGACTTGACACGCGTTGACTCTCATGACTTGTTTTGACGTTTATTCACCTTCAACTTGAACCTGCATTTGAGTCATTGTTGCACAGTAGGCCCCAGTCATTGCTCTGATTGATGATGCCAAGCTGCTTCATTGCCTTATGTATTTATTCATGTATTCCATGTATATCACCCCTACAGCCACCTCACTGCTGACCCATAGTGAACCCGTAGGGCAGGGTAGAACTGTCAGCGTGAGTTTCCAAGGCTGTAAATCTTTGTGGGAGGAGAAATCTTTCTTCTTCCTGTACAGTTGCCGTTCATGTTGGGGTGGGCAGGGTGGGGGAGTCATCTGTCATGAAGAAGTAATTGGTCTTGATAAATTCTGGATCATCCCCTGTGTTGTTTCTATTACCAAGGCTTTACTTTGTAGCTACCAATCCTTCTTGGTTTGTAACTTTTGTGTTTCAGTCACCAGAATTATTAATATATGTCCATTGCATGTTGGATCAATTTCAGACCCCAGAAGTTGGTACAAATCTTCAGTTTCTTCGTCTTCAGCATTAGGGCAAGTGTGTATGTAGTAGTTGAATACTAGTCATGTTAACTGGCCTTGTACATGTGTGGACATTATTATCCTGTCAGTGAGAGTGTTTATACATCAGAATAGACCGTGACATCTTCTTTTTGATAATGAACGTGACACCATTCCTCTTAAATGTGGCATTCCCAGACTCGTGACAGCATAGTGGTTTTGTGTTGGGTTGCCAAATCACAAGGTTAGCAGTTAGAAACCAGCAGTTGCTCCAAGGACACAAGGAGAGGCTTTCTGCTCCCGTAATGAGTTGCCGTTTTGGAAACCCACCCGAGCAGGTCTACTCTGTCCTGTAGGGCCACTGCGAGTCCGGATCTGCTTGATGGTTGTGAGGCCAGGTTTTTGTTGGAGTGGTCCATTGTCAGGTTATCCAAAGCTGTCCACCCTGGGTTTGGGTGAGCTACAGTGGTGAAGATCCTAGCCCCAACAGTCACACCTTTTTTTTTTTTTTGGTAATAGGCTAGGAAGACAATTCTTTTCCTTCACGGTCATTCATTCTGAGTCGCGTGTTGTTGGAGTTGGAGAAGGTAGCTATTGCCTTTTCTGCACTGATTACTAGGCCAAGTGTACAGCAGAATTAATGATAATTGAAGTTTTCAGGTTACTACACTTATTTTTTCTAATTGTTGCTGTAACTTTGCAGGTTGTTGGCTCGAAAGGAATAGCCAGTGCGTGACCCTGGTTTTTCCTCATCACTTTACTTGGCTTACACAAAAGGTCCATAGCGTCCCTCTGATTGCTTCAGTATCAGTGTTGGGGACTCGTTGGTTTGGCGCCACTGGGGCACGCTCTGGAAGACATGCTCCTGCATCATTCAGACAATCTCGATGGATGTATGAGAGAGTGAAGTTCCCACATGTCTCTGTTTGGTCCTTGTGACTCTTCCTTGAGGTTAATGTTGTTCAGGGTTCTTCTGAATAGTTTTCTCTGTGGAACACACAGATGCAGACTCCGGGACTTTTGTTTCTTTTCCTTTTGATATTCTTTAGTGATGTTCTCTTTTACCCGCTTCATCACAGGAGTCGACAGAAAATGCTTATCTTCTGTCAACTTTGAGCTAAGCAGTTCATGAGAATTACACCATTTACTCTTCTCCTGAGACCAGGATGGTTTCATTTCATTTTGCTCTTGTGGGGATGGAGGCACACAGCGGGAAGCAGAGTCACCCAAAGCTTCACTCCTAAGAACTGTGGAGGCCATTCCACTACCTCGATGTTGCTCAGGACTATAGGTTGCCTCTCAGCAGGTCAGAGATCCATCTAGTTCCTGAACATTTGTTGAGAACTACCACAGGCTGCTTAGTGTTGGTGGTTTAGTCGTGGGATTCTCACTCTCAGGTGACCTGGGCTTTAATTCCACCCCATACCCCATTTGCCCAGCCACCGCCCATCTGTAGGTGGAGTCGTGGGCATTGCTATGATGCTGAATAACCTTCATGGGGCTTCCAGACTCAAATGGAGTAGGAAGAAGCACCTGTTGCTGTGCTTCTGAAAATCAGCCCATACAAATCCCACAGATCCCAAGGTCTGATCACCAATGAGATGACCACCGAGATGGTACAGAGCAGGCAGCTCTTTAGTCTGTTGTACGGGAGATGTCCATGAGTTGGGAGCCAACTTGATAGCAGCTAACAACAGCATTCTGGAGAATTTAAATAACTCGTCTACCACTGGGAACATGAGCTCATGTGTTTCGGAGCCCTGGTGGCACAGCAGGCTGCATATTGAGCAGCAAATGAGAGTGGTTTGAACCTGCCCAGCCACACAGAGGGAAAAAATTAAACTTTCTCAGAAACCCAAAGGGGCAGTTCTACTCTATTCTGTAGAGTTGCTGTGTGTCAGCATGGATTTGATGGCATTGATTTGGGTGGGGGGGGCGGGCAGGGAGTACATAGACCCAAGAAGCAATTGGTTTAAAATCATACATCAGGTTGTATTCTTTCACCATACTTAACTCAATCTGTTTGCTGAGCTAATAATCCAAGAAATGGGACCACATAAGAATAATGTATTATCAGAACTGGAAGGAGACTTATGAACAACTTGTGATGTGCAGATGACACACGTTTACATGCTAAAAGTGAGGAGGACTGATGAACAAAGAAGACAGCCTTTCCTACAGAGTACACCTCAGTGTAACGAGAACTGGACCAGTAACCAGCACCATGATAAGTGAAGGGAAGATTGAAGTTGTCACGGATTTCATTTCTTAGATCTACAATCAGTTCTCATGGAAGCAGCAGGCAGGAAATTATATTGGGCCAATCTGCTAAGAAAGAGCTTATTAACGAGTTTAAGATCAACGCTGTCACTTTGAAGCGTAGGTGTGCCTGGTGGAAACCATGGTATTTTCAGTCACCATAGGATTTACATGTGATGCTGGACTGAGTAAGGACAACCAAAGAAAAGTTGCTGCCTTTGAATTCTGGTGTTGGTGCTGAATATTGAATAAGGTCAGGGCTGCTGGAAGTACCACCAGAAAGCTCCTTTGGAGAGGGGAGGGAATGGTGAGACTTTGTATCTTGCAAATGGGAACATGGGGCATGTTATCAGGAGGGCCCCATCTCTGGAGAAGGATGTCTTTGTAGAGGAAAGGGTCCTCCGTGAAAAAGAGGAAGACTTTCAAGGAGATGCATTCCCGCTGGTCCCAACAGTAGATTGAAACCTAACAATGACTGTGGATGGTGCGGAAGGGGGCACTGTTTTGTTCTGTTGTACTTACGGTGTACTGTGCACCAGACAGCAGCAACCCCTGGCCAGGTTCACAGGCTGAATCTTCTCGTCAAGGAAGTTGGGATTTGTTGAGTGTCTAAATAGTCACTGTGAATACTCTAAACATTTAGTCTGAGAGAACTAGGCAGAAGGGAAACTCAGGAATCTTAGAAGATAACAGAGATTCCAAACTAAGATAAGGAAGCCCTTTGTTTTTGAAATATTTGGGGACTAAAGTCAGACGTTCTTTACTTTCGCTCAATTAGTAAATTCATGAAGACCTCACATTTCCAAGTCTGCATGATGAATACCCTCGTGCCTCAGCGGCCAGCAGTGGAGAGCTCTCTCTGACGCGGGAACGAGCAGTTTCTCATCCGTGTGCGAAGCTTGTTGTCTGCGCTGGAGGAATCGATGGTTTGGCTTTGCTTGTTCTACTTTAAAGTTGACTCTAAATTTTCTTAAAACTCGACGAACATAGAAGAAGCGGTGATTAGCCAATAAGTCATTTTGCTCTATTTCCATTATGGGGGAACTTCCTGCACCCCTGGCAAAGGGCAGACCGCCTAGTGTGGCTGTGCCATTTGAAGTCAGAAGCCTAAAGAAGATGGGCTTTGGAAGTGGTAGCAGGGCATTCCGATTGGCCACGAGGAAGGAGGAGACAGGTGGTCATAAATTCATTTTCCAGTGTTATGACTCACTGTCATTTCAAAGACTCTCATACTGGTTTGATCATGTGTGCTGAGACTGTTCTTTTTAATTTTCAATTTCTTCCTCTGTTGAATCACTTCTGACTCATAGTGACCTTCTAGGACAGCAGGGTTTCCAAGCTAATAATCTTTCCAGGAACAGCTCGTTGGGACATTTCTCCTGCAGGGAAGCTTGTGGACTCGAACTCCCAATATTTTGTTAACAGATGAGCACTTCACCATTGAGCCACGGGACTCCTTAATTGTCAATATAGCTGCTAGGATTTAGACAGCCTCAACTTGGCATAATCATTATCGTGGACTTTAAACCTTTGAGTGGGCTAAAGCATGCATTTTTACAAATCTTTCTAGATATAGGTAGTATTCAGCTTTGAGTGGTCAAATATTGTGTGTTACGCATCTTTTGATTCTAAAAACATGAGCTGCCTCTTTAAATGCCAGTAAGCTTTATTGTTGATGTGTTTTGCTTCTGACTCTGAGGGAGTGCTTGGCATGTAATAGTTCACTTTACCTAGGATTTTTTTGATGCCTTCTCTGTGTTGGGCCCTGTCATAAGCCTGGGCATGCTTGATTTCATTTGCTCACCATATAAGTCTTATTCAGGAGATACTATTTGAATTTTGATGATAGAGCTGGTCCAGTGAATCTGTTAGTTTGCCAGATATCATTAAGCAGTGATCAGGTGGTGTCAGTATAAGAAGTTGAATTCTCTGGTTCCCACGCCTGCATTTTGAGCTTGTGTGCCCTGTAAGAACTTCTATAATGGCTATATTGATATCTGCATATGAGTACTGCGTATATTTGTTGTCTGTGATATCTTTCAGGTTAGGTAGGAGGCAGTTACAGGTTTTATTTTTACTGTGTAATAATTAGGAAAATGCAATTTATGGATATGTTATTTACCAAGAAATAAGTTCTATCCCAGAGAGCTTCCTACATCACAGTAGGGCCAGGCCAGCTAGGACATAATAGATCTTGGCAGTATTTTTCCAATTATGACTAACAGTTGTAATGTTGGTTTTTATCGAGTCCTTGCTCTATGCTAATCGACCTACTATTTTGCGTGTGCACCTCATTTATACATATAAAAACTTAATGGCATGAAGACACCTAACATACACATGGCCACTCCAGTGCACTGTATTGGGTTTTCATGGCTGCAGATTGCTCTGGACTTTCTTCTGAGACATCTCTGGTTGGGTTTGAACTGCTGTCCTGTAGAGTAGTTCTCTGGTAGCTTAACTGTTTGTGCAACACAAGACCAGAAACCAAATCCACTGCCATTGAGTCATTTCTGACTCACAGCGACCCTTTAGGACAGGGTAGAACTGACCCTGTGAGTTTCTGAGATGGTTGCTTTTTAGAGATCAAAACGGCCATCACTAGAGTAGAGATCCCGTCTTCGGTGGTTTCGAACTGCTGACCTTGAGTTTAGCAGCCCGACGTGTAACCACTACACCACTGGGACTGCTTTATTGATATTCCAGGGTGGCTTGCTGAAATCCTCAGTGTGAAGTCCAGTGAGTTGTCCGGTTAGCTGACGCGCCTGTGGTTAGCTGAGCAGGGCTTGGTTTTGGGTACACTCGATCTCGCACCTAGAATAGTGCTTTGAGACTGTATTGTCATAGGATTGTACTTTAGGTGTATCAGATTCTGCACACCTCCCTTAGAACATTGTAGCCTTAAAAACAATGTTGTTCTTTGCCAAACCAAGCCTTCATTGAGAATAGAGCCCACACGGTTGGTGGCTGATCATGAGACGGAATGTGAAGCATCGTGGGGATTTTGTGGCCATTTGGCGGGGGTGGGGCCTCTGAGCTGAGCCGGAATTCTAGGAAAAGCTTGCCTGGCAAGCTGGAGGAGGGGCTGTGGGAAAAGGGAACATATGCTTGCTGCAGGCGGCGTGCTGAAGGCCGGGGCATCCTTCCTGTGTTCCTCTAGTCCCTTTGCCAGCATTTGTCCCTGTAGTCCATTGACCTGGCAGCTGGAACCTTATTTCTTGTTGCCTGCAACTTTTTTTCTAGTTGTAGTCTTCCCAGAGTCTTTTAAATGACCTCATTTGGAAAAGAGAAAAACAAAACAACATCAAAAGACCAAAACAAACCAAAAAAACCTCTTAAGCTTGTACTGCAAATTTTAGATAAGAGTACGAAACATAAGAATTATATTTATATAACTTTAATACCATTCCAGTGATGGCTGTTTTGATTTTTCAGCTTTGCAGTTGGCCAAGATGCTGAGCAGGAGGAAGGACAAGGGAGCGGAGGCTTCCCTGTGATTGGCAGTCCAGGTCTCAGTGGGGTCTTCTCAGTCAAGCCGGGACAAGCCAGCTCTTCGTGAGAGGGAGCCTCGTGGTTCAAAATCTTGACAGGTAAGTGAGGCTTCTGATTTGACTGGCACTGCTTTTCTTTGCAAGGGAGTCCTTTGCGACGTGTGGGCTAAGGTGAGATGGCTACACACACGTCTTTAGTGGCACCGCATAGATCATGTATTCTGTTTCCAACAGAAAACTGCCATCGCTGTCGGTTTCTTCCCTCTCTTCTGCTGTTCTTTTCTAGATCATCGTGCTGTTCGATGAGGGCAGAGCACCTAGGCTGTGCTTGTGCAGGCTCTGCAGACTCTCTGGGTGTGCAAACAACCCTGAGGCTCCCTGTTTTCAGTCAGGCGCCTGCTTCCTGGTTCATGCATACCCAAACATAGTAATTCCTTAAAGTGATTTTGGAAGATAGATTAGAACAGAGTAGAAGTAGGGGGCTAGACCCATACATTGTGTGGCATATCCCTTATCACATGGCCATGTCTCAGTCTGCCCCTGTCTTAAATGAAAACAATGGGGGGCACACAAGAAGGGTCCTGGGAACAGATGTAGGAGCTTCCTCCACTCAGTCCTTCAGCCTGAGACAGCCTTGCTTCGTGCACTCCAGTAAGTCAGGCTGCAGTGGATCAGAGGAAATAGTCGGGCCTGCCTACTGGGGCTGCCGGCAGAGAGTTAAGGCTGGCACACTCTCCCTGGAGATATGCCCGTAGGAGCATTTTCCCTACTGGCTGGGGGATAGCTATTGGCTGTGAGACCCTGGGCAAGCAAGCCATGGAGGAAGAGCAGGAGGTTGGAGCCCCCAGCCTGTTGTCCTTGTGACTGCTATGTAGGGTTCCCTTTGTATTTTTCCCTTTCTTTTTGTTTTACATTTGCCTTCATAGAGCCACCCTTTCTTTTTGGGGGGTGTCCTTTGATTTTTTTGGGGGGGGGGTTAACCATGTGATTGATGTGCTTGGCTACAAACTGAAAGATTAGTGGTTCAAGTCTACTTAGAGTGCCTTTGAAGAAAGGCTTGAACCAGCCATGAAAACCTTACAAGATACAGTTCTACGCTTGACACTTGTGGGGTCATTGCGCCTCATCTGCTCGATGACAACTTGTTGCTGATTTTCACTTCTTTGTACTACCCCTTAACCGTCCATCATATAGAACAGAAGGTATCAGGTATGAGTCACACATTTTGTTGACTGGATTCACTGAGCAATCAAAGACTGGGCGTGACTCTGTGCTCGATGTTGTTAGCATTGAACCTTTCCTATTCTAAATGAAAAAAGGACGTCTTGGAAGGTTTTTTTGATAGTTTCATTGGCATATAATCCACGTACCTTACTGGAAGGTTTGCCTTTTCTCTGGATAGATAACATAAAAGATGACTTTTGTCTAGGGTTCTCATCTAGACATATTTCCTCTGCCCCCACATGAGTCAGGGACCCTTAGTAGAGAGTGCCGTGGGGGGTTGGCTAGAAACAGTCACCCCAGATTCTTGTCTGCTGAGCTCTAAGTCATACTGAGAGACGTTCATTTCAAATGAACCCTCAACCTTTCCTCTCCCAGCCCTCAGACGTTCACCTTACTTTGGGTGGGACAGGTTGTACAGATTGGAGGACTGTTTTTCGACCTCCACATTCTCTCCCAGCTCAGATGAATGGAGGTAGTAACAGGAGTACCCTATCTATGGCACTTCACAAAAGATGTGCACGACCAGTCAAGTAGGAGAGCGATGGATAGTTAGAGTAATGGCTCCATGACTGATCTTCACCTTTGTGTAGCTATTGTTGTCAGTTGCCATCCAGCCAGCTCTGACTCACGGAGACCTCGTGTACGACAGAATGGAAGGGTGCCCTTCCTGGCACCACCTCCATGCTATTTGAGTTATTGGTGCCCGCTCTTGTAGCTTCTGGAGCCATCCAGCTTGTTGAGAGTTTCCTTCAGTGCCACGTAGTCCTCTCTTTAGCCACCCTGCTGTCCTTTTCCAGCAATCAGTCTTCCCCGATGACGTATCCAAGAAGCATGCCGGGCTCTTGCCATCCTCACTTGTAAGGAGCGTTGAGATTCATTCTTCTAGAAACCCACAGTCTATTCAGTGTTCCTTAATAACAGCACAATTAAAATACACCGATTGTTCTATGTTTCTTTTTTATTGTCTGGATACGCATGCGTATAAGGTGATTGAAAAGATCATGCCATGCATCAGACATACCTAAGTCATCAAAGGGACAGCTTTGCCTCTTATTTTTCCCCTTCCATGGTCATTGTCCCACGTTTTCAGCTTCTCAGACCTCTGCTGCTGTGGAACTCTGTCTCATTTCTGAGTTGAGCTGCTTGTTTTTAGATGGTGTGCCTTCCCTGAAGTGTAAGCCAAGCCTTTGTGCTGAAGAAAAGTGACTCGGCTAGTGTGGGCTTCAGTGTGATGTTTCAGTGTTGAGAACGCCATCATCCTGGGGACCCACCTGCTGCTTTGTGCTGCCAGAGAGCCTTCCTCTACAACAATGAGTTCATTACCAGTGTTCCTGAGATTCATTAAGGTGTGGGCTTTTTTTTTGGCAAACATTTACAGTGTTGAAGAGACACATCTGAAAAATGAAAACTAAGCTCCAGCACCTTTCTACCCCCCATTTCTTGACTTACCTAACTCACCCTAGACTTCTTGTCCTTCGTCTTTCTAGGCTTTTTGTTTGAAGGGAGTTCTACAGAGGCATGTGCCTCTGAATTCTGAGAGCCTACTCAGGAAGCTCTTGGCATGGACACAGGTTGAAATGAAACCTAGTTTCACAGTTAATCCTCCTGTTTCAGGCTTGAAATCGAATTCTTCATGGCTGCTTAAGGAGTAGGGGTTTCCGATATGGAAAACACAGCAGGGTGAAGTTGTCCCCTCTGTTATCTGAGGGTTAAGAGCGGGCTCTGTGGTGCTTATCACTTTATTTCAGGAGTTTGACGCAGCAGTGAGTCAACTTGGTAGCTGTGCATTACTGTTGTTATTGTTTTTGCTGATTAAGGCCTGGCGCCCTCCAGATACTGCGCTAGGGATGGAATTTTCAAACGTTTTAAGCCCACCCACCTTTTCTCATGCATTCAATGTAAACCTCTCATTCTTATCAAGTAAATGTGGTCATCATCTGCTGAATTTTGGAGGCTGGGGTTATTGAGGTCTGGGGGATTATTGGGCAATGGGGGTGATCAAGGGGGAACACTATGCTGTTTGGGTTTGCTTGCTTCTGGACTTAATATACTCTTGTTTTCTTCCCTGTGATATCCAAACAACCTTGACTGTTCTCATGATGTGGTTCTCTGAGGATGAGTCTAAGATAGTATTAGAAGTTTGAAAACACAGATAATTTTATTCTGACCATATCTGTACATTACACCCTTAACCCTGGCTAGCCAGGTGTCAGGGGCGGGTAAAGATCTGTAGACTCCATGCTCCTGTCACTCCCGTGGAAAGCCTGGAATGTGTGTCTTCTCCGAAAGGCAGTGCTGAACCTGTTTGTGGGCCTGGGTGGCATCATGGGCATCCTTGTTGAACCGGGGCTTAAAGAAACAAACTTGATCTGAAGTTAAAGTCTGTTAACTAGAATACACTGCATACCATATTTGGTTGAAACCATTGTGGATTGGTTCTCTTATCTCCTCATACATTTCTAGTCATTTCATAAATCCTTAGTGAACACCCTTTGGTACCCATTGCTGGAGGTCCTGTGCTCGACAAGGGCACAGCCACTGCCTGCATGGACCTTATCTCTAGTAGAAAGATGGTCTCCTAAGAATGTCTTTTCTGTCTGGTGTCTAATAGTTAAAGCCTCGTCCTTTGAACTAAAACAAGAGTCTTTGAGAGGAGTCCGTCAGTGGCAGAGAGAGAAATGGTTAATGTCGAAGTGTGCTTTAGTATGTGTAGAGCTTTCCATAGGATTGCAGCCTTGGGGTGCTGGAGTTGTGGACAGTGGATAGCAGAGTCGTTTGGACTTTGGAGCATCCCTCACTGTTCCTCTTTACCCCCCACTTATTCTAAGGAGCCCGATGGGAGGGATTAATACTTAACTTCTTATGAGATATAGCCAAAAACCAAAAATATAACGGTCAGAATTCTATCAATACCTATTAGGATACCAATGTTTTAAAAGTAAAGTATACAATTTTTTTAAACCTTCAGCACTGAATTAGGAAAAATCAAGCTTCTTTCTCTTTTAATTCCTTTTCATTGTGGCAAATTTATAGACAGCACATTTACCAATTTCACAGTCTTCACATTTATAGCTCAGTGATATTAAAAATGCTCATGCTTTTCAAATATCACCATGAACTGTTCCCATTACCTTGAACGGGAACTAAGTGTCCCCTGGGGGTTGTTCAGTAATGCTCTGATAACTAATAACTAGTCACTTCCTTGTACATTGTCAACTTATCAACAGTCTTCAGATTCAAAAGCCCAGCTGTTTCTTGCCATTACTTCTTAGAATTGAGAAATCTGATTGCTGACTTGTAACTACTTAAGAAATTTGGTACCTTGTTTTTTGGTGATAACGAGACTTTCTCAAAAGCGCAGAAATCAAATGAAAATACTAATAAGTGTTGGTCAGTTTCTGACAGCTTTGAGTATCTGAGCTTTTAGGGATAAATAACAGGTATTATTGATCGGGCTCTGGTGATTTTAAACATTGATAGTCTCCAAGTTAAATGTAAACAAAATTTATTGCAAGAAAAAAAAATTAGTATAGTGTTTAGACTAAATCATAGAGATCATCATCCAGCTGTCTCAGCTCAGCCACAACCTTCCTATAAAGCCCTACCTTTCAGGAACATGGTTAATGACACTTGCCACTATTGATTCCTGCCAACAGGAAGTAGATAATTATGCAGAGAGTAAGTGCTATATGCATGTGCAGGTTGTGGAGAGCCCAGAGCAAATAATATAAATGACAACAATGTTAATGATAGCTAATATTAATTGCCCTTTATATATGCTAATTCCCATTCTAAGAAATTCACAATAATGCTATAAGTAGATGCTATTTCTCCCCTATTTTAAAAGATCAGAACAACAAGGCACAAGACACAAA